CATTGAAGTGAGTGGGATTGCCTTTCCTCCCAATTACTCTCCACAGGTGAAGTACTTATTCAGGATCAGTATGCATCAGTGGAAGAACAGATCCTTTTATTAATGCCTTTTATTTGTATTGTGTTAATATAATCAGCACAGTTAATTAACATAGCTTACTTTAAAACTTGGGTGCTCCACTGACAATTACAAAGTTTCAGAGGGATAGCCATGTTAGCCTAGCAAAACAAGTATCTGACAATTGTGGGACCTTTGGTAATAAAGCCAATTAAGTGGGTTGGATGTGTCCAATTCATAGCTTTTGATGTAATGTGTTAACTAGTTAATGTCTTTATTCAAGCCCAGGGTAACAGTGTCAAACTTGTAGATGAATTGCAGTTGTTCATATACAGTTTCTTTCTGTAATTGGGTGGTGAAATTCCTTTGCGGAAGAATGGCTTCTTTTAAATCCATGTTGAGTGACCAGGTAAGTTAAAAGGTTCCTGTACAGGTTTATGTGTGTTACTATTTCTAATGTCTGATTTGCATCCATTAATCCTTAGTCACAGAGACTGTCCAGTTTGGCTAATATACATGAGCCTCTGATGTTGTGGCTTGTGTGGTTAGGACCTGTTATAGTGTTGCTAGTATATATATGTGGACGGGGTTTGTTGCAGGGTAAGGTTCTTGCGTGCATGCACCTGAGGTGTGGTGTGTGGCTGCTAGAAAGAATTTGCTTCAGGTTAGGGGGTTATCTGTAGGCAATAATTGGCCTGGCTCTCAGGGCCTGTGAGAGTGAGGGATCATTTTCCAGGACAGGTTGTAGATTATCAGTGATGCACAGGAAGGGTTTAAGCTGGGGGTTGTTGGTGATGATCAGTGGTGTTGTATTATTTTCCCTGTTGGGCCTGTCTTGAGAGAGTTGGTTTCTGAATACTTGTCAGTCTCTATCAATCTGTTTCCTCACTTTCCCCAGGTGGGTATTTGTTTTAAGAATGCCTGATAAAGATCTTGTAGGTGTTTATCTGTGGGACTGGAGCAAATCTAGTACCTTAAGACTTGGCTGTAGACAGTCAATTGTGTGATGTGTCCTGGATGGAAGCTAGAGGTATGTAGGTAAGACTAGTAGTCAGTAAGTTTCCGATATAGGGTGGTGTTTATGTGACCATCATTTATTTGTACTGTAGTGTCAAGGAAGTGGATCGCTTGTGTGGCCTGATCCAGGCTGAGATTGATAGTGTTAGAAATTGTTGAAATCCCTGTGAAATTCTTCAAGGGTCTCCTCCTTGTGGGTCCATATGGTGAAGATGTCATCATTGTAGCATAAGTGGTAGAAGGGGAGGAGAGCAGAGGAAACAGTGTTCGAGGTCAACCATAAAAATATTGGCATATGGCCATGGGGATACCCACAGCAATGTCATAGTGCCATAATTGTGGGTGATGAAAAAAATCACATAGCACAGCCACCAGGTGTGCTGTGACATCATTGGGGATAGTGTTCCTGATAGCTTGTAGTCCATTGTTGTGAGGAAAGTTGGTGTAAAGAGCTTCTACATCCATGGTGGCCAGATGGTGTTTCATTGTTGATGCTCCATAGTTTCCTCAGGAAATCAGTGGTGTCTTGAAGGTAGCTTGGAAAGCTGGTATCATAGGGTCTGAGGAAAGAGTCAACCAGATAATCCTTCTGTAAGCGTGCTGATGTTTATGAATCTTGGGTAGCAGATAAAATACTCCTGGTTGGGGATTTGGGGATGTGATGAATAGGAGTGCTGGCCTCCTAACGGGTGAAATTCAAGTAGCTAGGGGTGTTGTTGGCAGGAATCCAGAAGAACCAATGGGATACAGCACTGAAATTTAAATTGTAAATATATATCTGCTACCAATTGCTCTGTCAGAGCATTAATCTAGGAGTTGAGAGACACAGGATGATTTAAACCCAGGCAGGACTACCATACCTCCAAGGAATTCAGGGCATGGGAGTGGACTGAATTAGGAAGGGATTGTGAGTAAACAAAGGGAAGAAATGTGTATCTAGTCAGGATCAGGGTATTTTTCTTTATTTTGGGTTGTTTGTTCTAAACTTCTGTGTGAATCCATGCCTTCCCTCCCCTATTCACCATTTAAGCTACTGACCAAAGGACTATGGTTCTTTGTGTTTTGATTTGTTCTTTCCTAGTTGCTCTGTAACATCTAGCAACCAAGTATTCTTTATTAAGTATATCTTTTGTTTTGTAATTAAAATCACTTGTTTAAGGTGATGATTTGATTCTTGTGTCCTGGAAAGTAACAAGAGGTCGGTCTGTCTATGTGTGTGTATTTGCATGCCTCAGACTAAGAGGTCAGTTACCAGAGACTGCAGTTGTTTTCTCTTTGTTTTCAAACTCTCTTGTGGCAAAGGAGCTTGGGATTACCCCTGTGGAAGAAGTCCAAGTGCTTCCTTCCTGGGTTCAAGAAAAAAGGTTTGTTTTTTTCTTTTATTTCAGTTGGTGGTTGCAGCTTTTTGTTATTTCTCGGAGCCAGCGTATCTGTGACTTTGGGGGTGGATTTATAAGCAGAGCTTAGAGGCAAGGTATTTCAGGTCTTTGCAGGCCCCCACCTTCTGCACTTAGAGTGGGGATCAGTCCAGACAGGGGATGTATTTGTATAGATTTGGTCCCGAGCTGTAGCAGGCAGTTTCAGGAGCAGATCGTATAGTTTCTTTTGGCATTCCTCAGTGGTATCAGAGGAAAGAGGCCTGTAGAAGATGGTGTCAGTGAGTTGTCTGGCAGACTCCTTTTCATAATTTGATCTATTCATGATGACTACAGCACCTCCTTTATCAGCCTTTTTGATTATAATGTCAGAGTTGTTTTTGAGGCTATGGATAGCCTAGGGTTCTGCATGGCCAAGGTTGTGTGTCACATGATGTTGTTTGTTCACAATGTCAGCCTGTGCACATTTGCAGAAGCAATCAGTGTAGAAGTCCAAACTGTCATTTCGACCATTGGAAGAGTCCATGTAGAAATCTTCTTCTTGTAGTGTTGGTAGGGTAGGATCCTCTAGGTCAGTGCAATGTTCAGTGGTGTACTGGAAATAGTCCCTCAGTCAGAGGTGGTAAAAATAGGCTTTCAGGTCACTGCAGAACTGTAATATATGGAGGGGGGCAGAAAGAAAGTCCCAGAGATAAAACAGACTCTTCTGCCTGGCTAACTATGTGGCTGGATAGTTTAACAATGTTATTAGGTGATGTGAGGGTACCCATAGTTGGAGTACCCTTTGGACATGTTAGTATAGAACTGGAAAATAACTACAATAGTAATGTATGTAACAGAGACTTGGCCAGCTGCAAAAGAATCAGTATGCTTTCCACTGTGGAAATGAAGATGCTGAGGTGGGTTAATGGCTGGACATTCCTTGATGGAAAGTGAAACAAGGTTGTAAGTACTGTAGGCTGAGAAAGATTAGCCTTGCTTGGTATGAGCTATGTTGTAGGATTACTGTTGCAATGATTGTTAGAGGAAGGCAACCAATGGAGAGACCAAAGACTTAGTGCATGGACTGGGTATCTTCAGGCCTTCCAGCGAAGAAGAAGGTTATAAAAGTTGCTGATCCTGAATAGGGAAATACCAAGAAAGAAGAGTTGTTTATAGGTTAGAATATTCTTATTTTTAAATTGGTTAACGTGGACCTCATCCTGACTTGATGAATATACAGTAAACATCAGTTTTCAAAAAAATTTCTTTTCTTTTATAGGGTCTGAAATTTTGGTAGTAAAAAGGCAATATTTTAATGGGTAAAATTGTTTGGGAACATCAGTGGTACAATATAAAACAAAATAGTCATCTGGAGGTTTGTCATTTTAGTGGGATAGAGAGGTAATTTTTATTCAACACAAGGGGTGTATATACACTGCACCGAAGGTTGAAATAAGATACACAATTTGCATAGCTCAAATTGTGTATTTTATTTTGATGTTATTTTGAAATGGCTTATTTCAAAATTTGGCACTGTATGTACAGCACTTATTTTGAAATAACTCGTTATTCCAAAATGTCCCTTACTCCTCATGGACTGAGGTTTACAGGGGCATGGGAACAGTGAACGTTATATGTTGAAATAATGGGTGAACTCAAAAGATGCAGAATAGCTATTTTTGGATACCTCCAATATCTCGAAATTCTCCTGCAGTTTAGACATAGCCTAGGAGCCCAGTCCTGCAAATCATTACTTCTGGGAGATGTCCTCAGTGATGCAAGCAATCTCATTGGCTTCAAGGATTTTTCATTTTGGGCCCTATCATGTTTCATAACACTTGAAAGAAGTATTTGGGTTATGTCCAAAAATAATGTCTCGAGATATATTGTCTCTTGAAAATATTTAATTGTGCATCTTTATAATATGGATATCTTACCTAAGTTTATCAGTGGAATAACTTTAATATAAAGTCTTCATTGTATCTCTGTGGACATCATTTGCTTTTAAAATTAGAAACTATAAAACTTCTGTATTACTAAACTAATCCCAGGTGAAATCAGACACTGAACACAGGCAAAATAATACGTAATTACTCTGTTTCTAACAAATACCAATCCACCATTTCCTCCAGCAAAACTATTTATCGTGTACATTGTTTAGACATGCAGTATATGCTTATTTCTCCTCCCCTCCCCCCCTTCCCCATCACTGTTTTTAAGCAAACTAAGAACTTAGGATGGTTCAGGGAGATAATGCCAACACCTCCTTTTATTTATATATAGATTAACTCTGCTGACCATCCTGACTGATTTCAGTTGAAGAACACTAGAATATTTATAATGCTGTTTCAGTAGAAGTACTTACAAATTCTTACTTTGCTGTATTCTGTAATATAAGAGCTAGTTTTAGAAAATTCTATGATTAAATGGATCATATGTCACCTCTCCTTTTGTTGGCTGCTGAAGTCTACATTTGAAAAATCATTGTAGTGTCTTTAATTATGTGGAGGGAGTGTAGAGAACATAATACAGATTTAAAGGATTAAAATCAGCATTTCTTATTCCCAGTTACAGGAATTCATACAAGAAGAACATCTGCATAGACATGCTGCGACAGGGTTATCACAAGTCCTTCTCTGAGCTCTTCACTCTGATACAGAAGTGGAATGCCTTGAGGGAGGCTTCAGGCCCTGGGTCAGCCATATGGCTGCATAAGTCCCTGGAGGAGCAGCCTGATAAGCTGGATCAGCTTCACCATTTCCTGACCAGGGCTGAAGCAGCCCAACGAGCAGGTAAATGGGAGAATTGTGGGTAACAGAACAGCAGGAGCTGCAGTAGTGAGTGCCTGAGGGAAGATTCTAAATTGTTTCATGTATGAATTTGAAACATTACTGCATCTTAACACATTTCAGCTTTAGTCATCTAAGATGTATTTATAGACTAAATGATCGGTAACTCTGAATTTTGATGCTACAGATAGAGTAAGAGGGTCTGTGAAATAAACTGGGAAGGAGCATCTAGAGTGCATTATGTCACTAGAAATCTTGAGATATATTTACAGCCTTGATAACATCTTAGTTATAACCTAGTTCATAGTTTCTTTATTTTTTTTCATCTTTTGATTTTAACACTATTTTTTATCTTTACTAGAGAAATGTAATTTTGAAAACATTCTTTATGCTTATCAAATTTTTATAAACCTGATATTTTTAAACACAGATGCTGCTAATTGTAGTTGAAATTGTAATGGAAAAATTAAAAATGGATTGTATATATGTCAAGTACAACATGATATACTAATATTGCATACTATTTGTGAATTAAAAGGAATTTGTAAAGATAAAACTCTAAATTAGTATGTTTTCACTAATGCCTAAAAATAAATTTCCTAAGCTACTAGTGTGATGCACCGCCTGCTCGCTACTCTTGCCAAATCCCCAAAGCCGACTCAGCCCCAGCTCTTCCCCCTGTCTCCTTGCCACCAGGGAGGGCCCAGCCCCAAGGCCACCCTGGCCCCAGCTCCATACACACATGCACACACACACACACTCCCCACTGCTGGACATGCCAGCCCCAGCAGCTCCTCACCAGTGGCGCAGCTGGAGCAGCACAAATGGAGCAGCTGGCCCCAGCAAGTGGCTGAGGGTGGAGGTGGAGGCTGGGCGGCATGATGATGTCATTCTGTCGTCCTGCAGGAAAAAATGTTTATATGTAGAGAGATTCTATTTATAGTATTCTTTCGAATAGTTTTCTTTCTTATTCTTCAGAATAATAATGGGCTTTGAAACAGATAATAGCTACAAGAACCCGTTTTGTAGGATTTCTATTACACTCTGTTAGTGTCCGTTAATATTTTTGACCTTTTATGGTAGGAAAACTTAAAATAAGGTTTCTAAAGTTTTGGCAGGGAACACTCTTTGTTTCAACTTCTTAGACATGGCAAACTTTTTGTTAAGGAGCAAATCAAAGAATCTTTTGACTTATTTTTAATATTATGCTCTCCCATAGTTCAATATTTTTTATTTAAAAACTGAAAATTGTAAAGCATTGTATTTATCTTGAATTCATTGTCATTATAGTCAACAAACTCCACACTGTGCTAAGATTCTGGAACAGCCTTCTAGTCAGGTAGTGGAACAAACATCCTGGCTGTGTCTACATTGGCATCCCTTTCCGGAAAAGGGATGCTAATGAGACACTTTGGAATAGCAAAATCCGCGGGGGATTTAAATATCCCCCCAGTCTAGACGTGATTCTCCGGAAAATAAACCCTTGAAAGTAGGAATAAAAGATCCTCCAGAAAAGGGTTTATTTTCCGTTGAATCACGTCTAGACTGGCGCTTTTCTCCGGCTTATCCCCAAGCCGGAAAAAAGCGGCAGCCATGTTAATGCAAATACCACGGGGGATATTTAAATCCTCCGCGGATTTTGCTATTCCAAAGTGTCTCATTAGCATCCCTTTTCCGGAAAGGGATGCCAATGTAGACACAGCCCCTAAGTAGTAATAAGATGAAGTTTGATAAGCTTATGAATGGAATTGTATATTGTGGTTCTTGTAATAGCAGTAGACTAGACTGGATGAGTCAAGAAATCTTCCTGATCCTAAGACAGAGAAGAGTTAATGGATTGTCCTGGAGTGAGGATAAAGTCATCTTCACTTCATAAAGCTGCCTCCCAGTTTGAAGAAATACAAAATGAAAAAATAATCTTTCCATCTTAGCTATCCTGATACAGGAATTATGAGCATGAAGCCTAAGAATAAGGACTTAGACTAGGCTTTATGTTGACTTAGGGTTCATTTGTTTATTAATAAATTCAAACTCCATGAAGGGACCCTGGAGAGTACATGGGCTGTGTGTCTTACAGCAGGTGAGAAATGCAGACAATGTAACAAAATATTAGCCTGTACAATTAATATGATGTTTCACTGTTTAAGGACCATAGCTAAGCATAACATTATCTTCTAAATTTAAAAATTAACCAAGATTTAAAAGAGGGATGGGGGAATTAGTTTTACATTTATGTAGGTTTGTATTTTAAAATATAGTATTAATAGTCATTTAGCTACATTGTTTGGATATTTGTCCATATAAATGTATTCAATGATACAAAAATGGGATGCATTAGTGCATGTTTTGCTAGTGTTACATTTTTATAGACCATTTACCATTATTCATATTTAGTGAATATTCATTGTTTTCATTTTCTAACAAATTATGGTGGGTATTCAGATCTTACAAGAATGCCAAACTTCCTCCAAATCAGCCACCAAACAGCAGTATCATGCAAGAGGAGTCTTTCTAGTAATCGAATCTGTCTCCCTTCACAGTATTTAAGTACCTCCCACATATTTAAAAATTGAGTTAAAAGAGAGATATTATCCCTTGCAGTTTATAGAAGAAATAGTTGACCAGGATTTATTTTGCCCTGGATGAAAAGAAGAACCAGAAGCAGAAACTGGCAGAATATGGCAGTTTCTATATCTATTGGCAGAACCATATCTACAGGTGATATGTGTAGAGAAAGTGCAGGCTTGGATATTGTTGATGCTGATATTTCAGATTCTGCTCATCTGTAAGTAGGTATGTTTACAATTGTTATAATGACCTCAGCCTAAGTACTGTGGGGCTACTTTATCTTTTTGCTAGGTATGTTGACAGAAATAAAATAAAAAAATCTGGGTCTATGTCTCTGTGTTATGATTTTATAATGTAAGTTTATAATAAATAAACAGGATAGATAAATGCCAGAGCAACCTTTCTGTGTATCATAGCAGTTTGTGTAAACCTTTGCCTTTTGCTATGTTGCTTATGATATTTGGGGTGAAATCAGAAGATGATTGTGCACCAAAGTAATATTCATAAAAAAGCATGTGTTGATACCTGGACTTCAGAAAAGATTTAGTTGTAAGATACTGTGGACCGTGAGTATTTTTGCTAAAAAGATTTGTCCCTCCATAATTTCTACTGTTCCAGGGAAACAACATCAGAAAGAAAAGTTAACAGAGGCTAATCAACAGTAAGTGAAAGTTCTAGTTTCCCTGATAGCATCTTATTTCTCTATTATTACTCATGACAATGAGATGTAACTCGGTGGTATCTGCATGCTGTTTTATAATGCCCTTTCATTGACTCAATTTAGAACAAAATAGTAACTTTAGCATAGTTGCAAATTTATGCCTAGTTGGCAACCCATTAGTCTTTCCTTTCCTTTGACTACCACTTAGTGCCAAGGTGACCTTCTCTTTCCAGGGATTCCCCAAGTAGACCAATTGTTGGATTACCACTAATCTATTTAAAGGGCTCTCTGAGATTTCCAGACCAGTACTACTAAACGCCCCTAAGACATACTGATATCCTTGAGCCTCTGTACCTCTCAGTCTTACTGTGTTAGTCTCCAATCCTATTTTTATTAACCATTTTGGGTCCCTTATAGATTCTCTGAGAGCTGTTCTCTTTTATTCTTCCCACAAACAACAAGAATTTTGTTCACCATTTGTCTCTTACTAGACCACTCAGGGAAATATACTTTCCAAGAGAATGGGGAGAAAACACTTTGAGAAGGAAGCATTGGGTCAGGATTTAAAAACAAAGATAACTCTCTCCAAGATCCACAGATTCCAGCCTGTATACCTTCATCATCAAAATGAGCAGATAAAAGGCACTAATTTGTTTAAAAAAAAACTTGAATACTGTACTCGTATGTAACTCTTGTCTCTCTAGTGGGATATACAGCATAGGAGAAATCCAGGAAGACAGGACCATATAAAACCATTTCTAGTGACAAAGCTCCCAAGATTCTTGACCTTACAGACAGAAAGGTCTATTCCTTCGCATCTCTTCAACTCCAGGTAGTTATTGAGTAGGATGACCTGACCTAAGACAAAGTATCAGCCTTTGACCTCTGATTTAGATAGCGGGCCAATATAATCCATCTGTCAGGTGTGCCCAGGTGTATCCTCCCGTGGAATGTGGCTTGGAGGCAGCTCAGGCAGCTGTCATTTTACTTGCTAATAAACATTACATTGCTTGATTGCAGTGCGAGCCTGATCCTTAGTACAAGGAATACCATGTCTGCTTGCCGACTGGTGGGTGTGGTCCACCCCTGCATGTCCTAATTGTTGATGTGCCCTGGTAGCCAGGAGAGACAGTTCAGTTCAATCGGGCACAGTTGTTACTGAGCGCGCGGCTGCTAAGATATTTACAGCTGCATTTAATTTTACATCCTCTCCTGGCTTTTGTGTGTGGGCATCTACGTGGGACATCTGTACCTTTATGGGATGGCGGAGGTCCCACAATTCCTGCCAAATAGTGGCACCCCAGACCAGCATCCATGGATTTACCAATTGTTCTGAGCCCAGTGTCCTGACCAAACTGCTAGACCATTAGCCACTGCCCAGGAATCTATGTAAAGGAGGCATGTTTCGTCCCCCAGCTTTATTGCCTGCTTCCATGCAAGGTGTATGACCACCAATTCTGCTAGCTGACTGGTGCCTTCTTTTATCATTTGAATGTTCCAGGTTTGCTGGAGGGCAATGGCTCACCACTTCCGGGCACCCCCTACATATCGGGCAGACCCATCCATGAACCAAGCAAACTGTTGCTGATCGGGAGTCAGGGTACTATAAGGGGAGCCCCACACTGCTATGCCCTGCAGCAGAGGCGGCTGCTGTGGGTTGGGCTGATCAGCCTTATCTCCCTATGGGAGCTGTGCTACTAACTCATGCAAATTGGAAACCCTTGAGGGTCCAGGCTTAGCTCTCTCCTGGATGTACCATCTCCACTTCAACAGA